CAAGCAAAGAAAAAAAATTATAATATAAAGTATAAACTTTGCTTCAATATAGAAAAAAAGAAAAATCCATAGGCGAACTTGCAGAAGCAGATTAGAAGAATCAAGTAAAGAAAAAAAAAATTGCAACATGCTTTATGTCTTTCTATTTCTAATTCCAACTTTTTGTTCTAATGTCAAAAAAGAAAAAAGAAAAAAGAGAGAGACAACATTTGTAGAGTAGCAAAAGTAGAACCAAGCCAAAAAAAAAAATTTATAACATGCTTAATCACTGTCCAATAATAAGATCGGTGCTTACTTGAAAGATTACCTAAAATTGGAGACGATATGATGTGCAGAACTGCAGATTAGTGCTCAATCGCTGTCCCTCTAGTTATAGGAGGTGTGAAGGGGTAAGCTCTCTTAAAGTTGCAAGCTATGGCCAATGGTGCGCAAAGTGTAGAGGAGAGAGTTGAGAGGAGAGTTGGGAGGAAAAGAGTCAAAAGACCAGATGTGGTGGGATGAGACCAGATGTGGTGGGATGAGACCAGATGCACGCGTGGGATGAAACTAGAATCCTGATGCGATGAGTTTTAGCTTTTAGGGTTTTCTTTCTTTAATTTATAAATAGAAAAGTTGAAAAGAAAAAATTAACCTTAAAAATTTTTAACTTAAACTTTTAATGGGGATTAACATGGTAATTTCACCAAAACAATCAAAAAAATTACATAGTAGCCGCTATATGCACTATCCGCTATACAAATAACGGTAATAGTAGTTGTTATTGACAAAACGCTATGCTATAACAAATTTTCATAGTGGCCATAGCTAGCCGCTACGCTATGTTGCTATAACGACCACTATGAATGCTATTGACAACGCTGCTTTGCGTCATATAGTTAGTATACCAAATACCATATACCAAATATAAACATTATGGTGTTGGTGCAATATTGTTGGTGGTATACCAAATATACCGAAAAATTGTGAGACATGATCTCCTATAATAAACTACACATAATGTCTTCTAATTTTTACT